CGTGGGAGGGACGACTGGTGGCAGGGTGGTGACGAGACTGGTGGGTGGACGCATGTCTGACTCCTGCCTCATAGGAATCCACCTCAGGCTGCTGATCATGTTTCTTCTTCTCCTGTCAAGTTAAGAGGAGGTCAAATGCTACCTCCACGTCATTCTTACATTTGGAGGCTAATTCCCTTCACCTTGGAAGGTTTGACTTAGTGGTTTAGGCAGACCAGAGGAAGAAGTGTTACATGGACAGCTGGCTTCAGAAATAGCAGAAAATACAGGATTTGATTTTTCCACTCACGTAGCATCCTCCCTTTTTTGATATTAAAGTCAATTTATAATTTGGCCTATTCTGGGGATTTATCTTCTGATCTGCCCTTTTCATATTCAGGCAAATGTAAGTCTCTGTTTACAGGGGGAGGGGGGAGAAGTTGTGATGATTCAAATCTTGTGATTGTTGCTGTTAGGTGTCGTCCAGTTGGCTCTGTGTCATGGCAACCGTATGTATGTGCAACAGAATGCCGCGTTTGAGTTCATTGTTGCAGCCACTGTAAATCTCTCTCTTCACTGACCTTTTTTAATTAAGCATCATGTCTCCAGAGATTGGGCCTTCCTGGTAATGTCCTAAGTATATGAGGTAAAGCCTTGTCATTTTCATTTCTAAGGAGCATGCTAGCTGTACTTCTTCCAAGACAGATTTGTTTGTTCTTGAAGTCCGTGGTATCTTTAATATTCTTTGCCAGTACCATCATTAGAAGACATCAACTCTTCATTTCTCCTCACACATGATGTAGCTTTCACATATATAACATGAGCCAACTGAAAATATCATGGCTTGTCAACACCTTAGTAGTCAAAGTGACATTTTTGCTTCTTAACATTGTAATGAAGCCTTCTGTTCCAGACTTGCTCAGTGTAATGTGTTGTTGCACTTCTTAACCACTAATACCATGGGCATGGATTGTGAATCCCAGTAACATGCAGTCCTTGACAACGTCAACAGTTTCTCTATTTACTATGATGTTGCTTATTGGTCCAGTTGTGAGGATCTCATTCACTTCACTGAAAACATACATGCCTTGGTGACTTGACTCACCTTCGCTCAGATTTGGAGTCAACGTGGAATCATTTCCGATTCCGCCCTGTTCTAAAGGAATATACAATTATACATAAACCACTAAATGATTCGTAATCTACTTACAGAGATAAAATACAAACATTGAAAACGCATTCATAATGTTATTTAGGCAACAACGCAAGTGGTTCTATTCCTCTTCACTTCCCTTATTCTTCAGTATCCTGACCAGGGATTCAAGCTGGTTCAATAGCTGAGTCATGGCCAACAGAACCAAGGGCGGTGCTCACGTTGCATAGCAACTAGATCAAAGATGGTAACTGATGGCGCTGATCTAAATGTGTCGGACGGTTGATACCTTTGAGTGGAGCACTGCGACCTGGCTTCTACTCTGGTCAAAATCCGAGGTGTGAGATTCGGTTGCTATGCAATGGGAACACTGCCCTTGTTTCCGTTGGCTATAGCCCAGTGGGTTTGAACCATTTCACAATCCCTGATCCCGACTTAACTTTTGTGTGCACTCTTCAGTTTTAATAAAATGTGACAAATTAAAGATTACCCATACTAGCTGAATCCACAGCTCTGTCTCTTCTGAGAGCTCCAGCACACACACACAACGCGGTCAATTCATGGTGAAGGCTTTCCCACGTTAACTGCATTCACTCAGTTTCTCTACTGTGTCAGGTGCCTGCGGTTAAGCAGACCAATTTTATGCCGGGAAGATTTTTTATATTCAGTGCATGCAAAGGAAGTCTATTCTGTGTGACATCTAAGATGCTGCATGAAGCACATTTCTTCTTGGAGACTTTACCACATTCATTCCATTGCTAGGATTTCTCTCCCTTTTGAGTTCAGTGAAGCACGAGATGCCTCTTTGAGGGGCCTTTTCCACATGCACTGTATATAAAGGGTGTCTCCCCTGTATAAGTTTGATGTTATGATTAGACAGCTTTTCACAGTGAAGCCTTTTGCACATTCTGTTGGAAAACTGAATTTTTTACAAGTCTTTCAATGGCTCATTCCCTAAAATGGCAAAAATATTCTCTTGACTAGTCCACTTACCTTTATGTTCCTAATCAATATACACTTATTTTTCTATTATCATGAGGAATATAAGTTTCTATAAATCAGCACTGTCCAAAGGATGTTCTGCCATGATGAAAATGTTGTATATCTGCACTGTCTTAGGCTGGGATCTTCAGAGAAGCAAAACCAGTGAAGCTTATATATATGTATATATAGATAGATAGATTTTTTTCTCAAGGAAATCGCTCATGCAATTGTAGAGGCTGTTGAGTTTCAAGTCTGTGGGTCGGACGTCAAGCTGGATGCTTCTTCTGACTCACGGAGCTACAGGGGTGGATGAACCCAAGATCTAGAGGGTCAGACAACAGGCTGCTGACTGTGGAAGTGACTGACTCCAAGGCCAGCAGGTAAGATGTTGACTTAATAGGCAGCAGAGGCCAACAACTCCAAGGATCAATATGGCGGATCGTTGACTCAAGCCCAAAGATGATGATGAGCCAGATGTAGGATCCAGGTCCAGCAAAAAGCAAGAGCGCTTTGCCAGAATGTCCCCATCTCTAGGAAGCAGGCCACACCCCCTGAAGACAATCCTTTTCAAATGATTGGCTGCTAATAGTAGATCTCACCATGGAAACAGTTACATGGTATCAGATCTCACCATGGGGGATGATGACATCCTAACTGGGAAAGTACTGAGAATCACTGGCCAGCCAAGTTGACACACAACCTTAACCATCACATCACATATGGTTACTGAGTTCTTGAAATGTTGCATATGACACCGAAGAACTAAATTTTTAAACTTCATTTACATTTAAGTAGGCACATGATTATTGGCTACTGAATTTGTGCCAAACGATCAAGGAATTCATATTCGATGTAAGGAGATAGGACATGCTGCAGAGAACTAAGTTCCTTTATGTGGCCTTTTGCCTTGGCTCTTTGGAAAACAACTTGAGGTGTTTTCCTCCCAAATCCTGAAGAGTTCATCTTTGCCGTAGTTTTTTAACCCAGAGACTCTGTCCAGGTTGAAAGACATTTGCTGGTTACACCATAAACAACTGGGTTTAACCCTGGGCTGTAGCCTGCCCTGTGATTGGTATGTATTTCACAGGAATTGATCAATAGTCTACACAAATGAAATGTCTATGACCTACTGAGAAGGGGATTGGCTAGTTCCATGGAGGGTCATGCTTTGAAATTGAGGAGGAGTTGTAGATCTAAGCAACCAGCTACACAGAGGCTTTAGAAGACAGACAGTAGGAAGATGAACAAAAGTTAGAATCTGGAGGAAGAAAAAAAAAAAAAGTGAGAGAAGAGTCAAGAACTGTCTAAACGTGTTATAACAAGGGCCAAAGTTTCTAACACTAAAGACAGCAAGAGCCCAGAAGGGATCCAGCAGCAAAGCCAGCAGTAACAGATGGCAGAGCTCACAGAAGTCTTCCCTGAAGGGGATTACAGAAGGCATGTCCTCAAAGAGCAGCCACGGCAAAGAGAAGGCTCTGTTTGCTCACACACTCAAGAGCAGTTGAAAGTGCTCTCTTGCACGGAAGAAGGGAGGAATGTTCTCTTATCTGTACCTGTTGATACTGTTTCCACGTTGCATCTATTACTTTCATAATAAACCCCAGAACTGTGAGCATGGCCGGTTAGCTAAATGTGGCCATTGCAACAAATGAGCGAACCCAGCAGAGAAGTACAGAATGCCCTGGGAGGGGCCACTTCTGTCCAAATTGGAAAGAGGGGGAATGCTGGATGGTGATCTTGACTCACTCTGCCCTCCCTAGTGCAGATGAAGTCTGTCAGCAGGTCAGTTTTACAAGGATCAACACGGTACAACTGGGGATCAGGAGCATGTGGGCAGCATACGGAAGGTCGTCCTGACGTGGAGAATATATCCGTCTCATCTTCAGAGGAGGAGATCGATGCACTCTGTCAGCATCTCTTGGCCATGCAATCAAGCAGGCTTTTTTCTTCATCATGCACGCCTCCTACCTCTCAGCGCGGACCTCACATCAGCCAGGTAATCCTCTTTTGCCCCTTCAGGACAGGTCTCCACTTGGCCACGCAGATCCCTTCTCAGCCATGTAAGCCTCCTCTTGACCCCACAGGAACATGCTTCCTGTTGACCACACATGGCTGGGTCACACAGATCTCTCTGCCTTTCGCTTCCCTTTCATCGACCTCTGTTGCTGACTGAGCCGGTTCACCGTCAGGGTTTTGTTCGGCTCTCTTAGCTGCTTTCCTAGCATCAGGTATCTGCCATCACCAACTCGGCAGGGCAGAGACCAGACTTCTTGTCTTCGGTGTTACGCTGCTTTAAGGAGGTTCCTTGCCTCCTGACTCTATGCTTCCTCACTTTGTGCCTCTTCTCCTTTCTACTCAGCTAACTCCTAGTCAGTTACAAGTTATGCCCCTCCCATCAGGGTCCTGTGTTCCTGATCAATTGTATCTTGGGAGGTTACAGTCACTTCACCTGCATAGCAGGCTATACTCGCTTCATTTGCATAGTTTATTAACCAATCCCTGCAAGGCACATACCAATCACAGGACAGGCTACAAGGCCCAGACCAATCACAGGGCCAGACATAAAGTATTTAACCAACAAGTTGTTTCCAGCTTGCCCAGGAAATGTCAGTGAGCTTGGACCAAAGTAACAAAAGTTCTGGAATAGAAAACTCGGGCAAAAGTAACTCCTCAGGGCTTAGGGTAAAACTCTCAAGCTGTTTTCTACAAAGAACCAAGGCAAAAGACCATCTGAAGGAACCCATTTCACCACAATCCTGCTTACAGAAAAAGAAATAAAAATCCGCCACTCAGTGTAGACAAAGGAAGTCTATCCTGTGTGAAATCTCTGATGTTGTATGAGGTACATTTTCTTCCTGAAGGTTTTACAACATTTTTTGCATTGTTAGGGTTTCTCTCTATTGTGCGTTTGCTGATGTACAATGAGATTTCTCTTCGAGGAAAAGCCTTTTCCACATATAATGCATATAAAGGGCTTCTCCCCAGTATGAGTTCGGTGATGTACGGTCAGACGGCTTTTCACGGTGAAGCCTTTTCCACATTCTTTGCATTCATAGGGTTTTTCTCCAGTATGAATTTGTTGATGGTCAATGAGCTTGTTCCTTGAGGTAAAGCCCTTTTTGCATTCACTGCATACGTAGGGTTTTTCTACAGAATGAGTTTGCTGATGTATAATGACATAGCGTTTCATGGTGAAGCCCTTTCCGCACTCACTGCACATAAAAGGTTTCTCTCCAGTATGAGTTCGCTGATGTACAATAAGGTTGCTCTTGTAGGCAAAATCTTTCCCACACTCGTTGCATATATAGGGTTTCTCTCCGGTATGAATTCGCTGATGTAGCATCAGTCCACTATTCACAATGAAACCTTTCCCACATTCATTGCACCTGTAGGGTTTCTCGCCAGTGTGAGTTCGCTTATGTACAATGAGACGGCTCTTCAACGGGAAGCCTTTCCCACAGTCCGCGCACACATAGGGCTTCTCTCCAGTGTGAGTCCGCTGATGTATAATGAGCATGCTTTTCACAGTGAAGCCTTTCCCACAGTCGCTGCAGAGATAGGATTTCACTACTCCGTGGTTTCGTCGATGTATGATGAGATTACTCTTCCTGGGAAAGGCTTTCCCACACTCATTGCACACATAGGGTTTCTCTCCTGTGTGAGTTCGCAGATGTTCGTTCAGACGGGTCTTCATGGTGAAGCCTTTTCCGCAATCGCTGCACACGTAGGGTTTCTCTCCTGTATGGTTCCGCTGGTGGATGATGACGTAGTGCTTTGTGGTGAAGCCTTTGCCACAGTCACTGCAGATATAGGGCTTCTCTCCAGTGTGAGTCCGTTGGTGGATGACGAGCATGCTCTTTCCAGTGAAGCCCTTCCCACAGTCACTGCATATGTAACATTTCTCCCCCGTATGAGTCCGCTGGTGGAGGATGAGATTGCGCTTCCCAGGAAACGCTTTCCCACAGTCTGTGCACACAAAGGGCTTCTCTCCAGTATGAGTTCGCTGGTGCTCAATCAGACGGCTCCTGATGGGGAAGACTTTTCCACAATCGCTGCAAACATGGGATTTGTCTGTCTTATGAATTCTCTCATGTTCATTGAGCCTAGATTTGCGGGAGAAGGCTTTCCCACACGTACTGCATCCGTAAGGTTTCTCACCTGTATGAACCCGCTGGTGATCAATGAGCTGAGACTTCTTCATGAAGGCTCTCCCACATTCACCGCATATGTGGGTTTTCTCGATGTTGTTAAATCTCTGATGCTTCATTTCTTGGGATTCAGTGCTGAGAGGTTTTGCACTTAGGGGGAATTTAACTGTAGAATGAAACTGTCCGTAATTACTAGGCAGAAATGATTTCTCGTAGTCATTGTATTTAACAGAGTTCTTAATTTCATAGATTTTGTTCTGGTTGGCAAAGCTTAAATTTGATTTCAAAGTTTTTATGTAGAACTCAAACATATCATGATTTTGCCGGAAAGGAAAATGAATTTTGCTATGATGAACAATATTTCCAAGCACATTATGTTCTTGGTATTGTTCAACAGTCTTCAGCATTTGTTGACTTTCCAAGGGACCTTGAAGATGATCATGAACCTTGCAGATTTCTAGGAAAAGAAGAGAACAACAAATCTCTTCATAATCGTGTGTGAAGCAGATCGTTAGTGAAAACAGTGTAACAGTAGCTCCGTGTATACATGTTCTTTACCCTTTCCACACTGGAAATAACACAATGATATCAACAAACTAAACACCGAAGGCAGATAGTAGAGAAATAAGGTTAAGTAATTGACAGGTTATACAGATTTGTTTGCTTTACAAAAGGAACAAAGTAAAATACAAGATGACGTACTGAACGAATGAATGTGGGTGGAAGGGAGCCAGAGGCTTTTAATGAAAGCACGTCATTGTTAGCAAACCAGAGTGTAACACTCATATGACTTCAGTGGCAATATCAGACCACAGAAATGGAAGAAATAACTGACCCTAAACCATGAGGGTGGCATTTGTTCATTCCACAAATATTTAATGAATGACTCCCATGTATGAGACCTTCTGCTGGTGGTTTTAGGGACATACAGGGAGCATCCTCATGATCGCTGACTTGACATCTGAGTTACAGGAAAGGAAATACAAATGAAGGAAACTGCAGATTGTAAATACAGTCCAAAGGAATGACAGAGATAGATGCTTGTGAGGTAAAGGAAATCAGGATATCTTTGCATAAAGAAAAGACAAGTGTCAGGGATGGGTTTAATATTAGAGCATTTATGTACCATTTGGTGGTGGTGGTTATGTGCCGTGGAGTCGGTTCCGCCTCATAGTGACCCTGTACAGGGTTTCTGAGGCTGTAAATCTTTACAGGAGCAGAAAGCCTCATCTTTCTTCCTCGGAACAGCTGGTAGTTTTGAACTGCTGACCCTGAGGTTAGCAGCCCAATTCATAACCACTACGCTACCAGAGCTCCTTATGCACCATGTACAGAATGCATGTAATCTCAACACGAGCTGATGTAGTGCATGAATGAAGGTGGGAGCTTGCATAAGAGGAGTTTTTAATGACAGTGATGAATCAATGATTACTTCTCTAACTATATGTCTGGAACAACAAGGCACATAGACACTTCTCATAATGAGATGAGAAGTTCAGAATATGTAGAAAATCAAGTATGCATCGTGAAACATAAGCTTTGGAGATATTTACTAGGTAGGTAAACATCAAGAATCTGGTCTGACGTATAAATCTTGACAAAGGTTTTGACAAGGACTAGCACAAGGAAGAATGAAAAACAGGTCCTTCAATCGGTCACTAGCAATGAATAATGATAAAAATTATTTTTAGGACACGGTTTCAACGTTATGGGCACAGAGCAGAATGGGATTTCAGAGAAGGGAAAATCTAATATCATCTGGAATCATGAAAACTATTTTAAAAAAAACCAGAAAAAACAAAGAGACAAAAATATGCATGCCGAACAGGACAACTAGACCATACTCACGTGCCAGTTCCTGAGTTCTATTCTGATTTGATCAATCAGCAACTCTTGACAAGGCTGACGGCTTTTTCTGGAAACGCACGTGTTTGAAGCATAGAAGCAGCTCTTGGATATTCCTTTCTTACCACCTGCTCTCTTAATGAACTTTATTACATATTGTAAAAAAAAAATCCCTGGTGATAACGGTTCGGTAGCCAGCTGCTAACCAAATCTTGGCAATTCAATACACGCAGAGCGGCCTTGGCAGACCAGCCTGGCGATCTGCTTCACAGAACACCCTACAGAGCAGATCTACTCTGTACACGTGGAATCGACTCCACAGTGACTAACGTTTCCTCCAAAGGCCGACAAGTAACGGAGTTTTGATACCAGGAGAGGGATGTGAATGAAGGCTCTGTTTGTGGGTCTTCAGATATGTTCACATGGGGACACCTGTGTTGGATGAGCTTGGCCATCTGCACCGCTGGTTACTACTCACTCACCTGGACATATCCGGCTGTGGATTTCATCCTCTATGGCCCACAGTTCTCCTTGTTCCAACATGGAGAGTGCACCTGGATTGCCAGCTTGGTAACCTGGTCATGGGAAACGACAGGTGACTTAGAGATGCACAGAATTGGGATACGAGTAGGTCATGATGGAGCTATGATACATTTTAGGTGCTGGGCAGTTGTCCCATGCAAAAGGTTAACAGCTTCATTATTTCCATTCCTACTGTTCATACTTTTGTGTCATCCCTACCCCTTGGTTTTGTCTAATAGAAAATAGCAAAGATGAAAAAAAAAAAAAAAGGTAACGTGTTCTGTCTCAGGAGAGGTCGCATTCTACCGTCCATCTCGAGACAAAGCAGGAACTGCAAAAGCAGCATCTTAGAGTGCTACAGTGACTCTGAAGTGTAGGTGACAGAGAACGGAACGGCCTCTCTAATGACCCTCACCCACGGACACCAGGTGGCTGTAGTTCTCCAGCATCACATCCAGGTACAGGTCCTTCTGAGCAGGAGCCAGGAGCTGCCACTCCTCCCAGGTGAACTTTATAGCGACGTCATCAAATGTCAGCGAGTCCTGTCATAAACAACAACAAAAAAACCTACTGTCATTGAGGTGGTCCTGACTCATACTGACCCTTGTAGGACAGAGGAGAACTGCCCTGTAGGGTGTCCAAGGTTGTACATCTTTAGGGAAACAGCTGTCACATCTTTGTCCCATGGAGCAGCTGGTGGGTTCGAACTGTCAACCTTTCAGTTAGCAGCCAAGTGCTTAACCACTGCATCACCAGGGCTCTCTAAAATCAAATCCATTGCCATTGAGTCTCTTCTGGCTCCTGACAACTCTACAAGACAAAGAAGAATGGCCTCTTTCTAAGGCTGTAAATCTTCATAGACTCAGAGTACCACATTTTTCTCTTGCAGAGTGGCTGGTGTGTTCGAACCACCAATCTTTCAATTATCAGCCAAGTGTTTTAATTCCTGGGCCACCAAGGCTGCTTCCTTGTACTAAGTTTTATTTAATATGAGTGTTTTGCTTTATTGAGAAACAAGTGTGGTATGATGAATCACTTTCATATGGCCTTTCTTGCCATGGTTTTCTGACTACTACAAAATGATTGGGTGAGACTATGCAAATAAGGCGCTTATAGCCCACCAAGGAGATTGGACAACCTGCTGCTAATGCAAATAAGGGCATGGCACACTTGCAGGCATGGGGTCATGAAAACATGGTGTATGGAGCCCTGCAAGGCGGACTGGTGCATTTTGCCATCCTTCAAAAGAGCCAATCCGAGAGCAGAGAGGGGGACCTTCACTATCCCCAAGAAAGGAATGGAGCATGTCCATTGGATCTGGGATTCCTGTGCCAACAACCTCCCCGATCCAGGACACAGTGAGAGCTGTTACCATCTAGGACGGCATGCAACAGCAAAGGGAAGAGCAGCAGAAAACCCTGGAGACCAGTGCAAGACAGCACAGTGGGGTTCCCAGCCCCCGGAGTGAGGCAGCTAGAGAGACTATGCCAACCACGGAGCAAGCGAGCTGAGCCTTAGGGCAGGAGGCTTCCTGGTGGAGGGGCCTCCTCTGGGCACCTAGTGGTAAAGGTAAAGAGCTCTGCAACATTCATAAAAACAGCTCAGAGGCTGGGTTAGGCTGAGGGGTAATGGGGCTGAGGCACCAAGAGGCTTAGAGGCTGACGGTCAGAAAGAGGGCTGACCTTGCAAGCACGGACAAGAAGCTGTCCTGACTGCAGAACTGTATCCTAAGTTGTAACCTGTTACTTTCTAGTAAGCTACATCAGCATTGAGTGTTTATTGTCGGTGAGTTCTGTATGGCCATTGAAAGGACTTTTCAAACTCATCAGAGAAGTCGGGAGAGCATTGGTTAGGATGGCTGGCATCAGAATTAGATAAAGAGAGGAGAGAGGAGGGTCTGTCTGCCCTCTACCTAGCAGGGATCAACCTTGGTCTGAGGCGGCTGTTTAGACCCCCTCAAGACATCAGATGAGATCAGACATTGTAATGCTGCCGTTTTCCACAGCAACAAATATAAGGAAGCTGTCTTACTCTTATTAACTACAGATTGCATCAGTAAGCTTTTTGAATGCTTAAAATACATTGGCACAGAATCAATTTCTAAGTAAAGTATTCCATAATTATGCAGTGATCCACTTACTAGAAAAACAAGTTTTTATAAAATGTAGCAACTAAATCTTCCAATTAATATAAAAACCAGATTTGTATATATACGAGGGGGTTTCAAAAGCTCAAGGAAACATCCCATTATCTTTCAATTTCATTTTTTCCATGAACTTTCTTAAGCCCCCTCAACACCACTGATTAATAGAAATCTACATGAAAACCCTACAGACAAGCTGCACTCTGTATCAAACTGGCTCTATGAGTTGAAATACACTTAGTAGCAACTAACAACAAACTTTAGGACAGAGATAACTAGATACATGAGACAGAAAGCAATATTCACTTTGTAGCCAAATCAGATATTAGACTGAGTCTTATATCAAATGTTTAGTTACAGAGTTGAATGAAAGACACCATAGCGTGTTCACATCAGCAGCACTTGCGCTAAAACTGAAATGATACAGAGAAGATTAGCATGGTCCCTGCAAAAGGATGACACATTAATATTCGTGTATTTGTGTGTGTGTGTGTGTGTATGTACAAGGGCATACACATATGTATGCAGCTCTATTAATACATAGGTTAACATCATACTTCTTGTTAAGTGCCGTCGAGTTGGTTCCGACCCATAGCAACCCTCTAGAGGGTTTCCAAGGAGCGACTGGTAAGCTTGAACCACCAACCTTGCAGTTCAAACTGACTTTGCAGTCTAGCGCATTAACCCATAGCGCCACACTAGATACATGGAAAAGATCACTAGGGAATTGGAATATGCCTTTTAATAAAGGACCCAAGATAAAGCACATAGACACAAAGAAACAGAAAATATAAAGGAGAGCTTAATAAATATGGAGGGTTGTTGTTGTTAAGTGCCCTCAAGTCGATTCCAACCCATAGTGACCCTGAATAGGGTTTCCAAGGAGCAGCTGATGAGCTTGAACCACTGACCTTGCAGTTCAAACGACTTTGCAGTCTAATGCATTAACGCACAGCGACACACGGGAACATGTCTAATATATGTTACTTGTAATTTTGAAAAAGATTCCGGAGTAACAGAGAAGCAATTTATGATGATCTAAGGATGTATACATTTTTTTCAGAATGGATTAAACTATAACTGAAACTTGGAAAACTTATAGGAAACTTTGCTACGCAGGAAACTTACACTGGTGCGTCAGACTGAAGTTACAGAACACCAGAAACAGAAGGAAGATTATGAAAATAATCAGAGATGAAATGCACACTAGTAAGATGAAATTGACTGATAGTTGCTTTTTCCACCCAATCAATGAAAGCCAGAAAAGAATGAAATGATATCTTTAGAGTCCCAAGCCTATTGCAATGTAGTCTATGCTGAATGCCACCTGACAGTGAATGGGGACCCATTCATTCATAAAAGCTGCCACTCTCCACTCTCAACATGCCTTGTAATCACATGACTATGTGGGAAACCGAGACAGGAAAGAAGTAGGCAAGAATTTATGGGATAAACTGCCCTGGTGTTATCAGAGAGACTCTAACAGAGAAGGAAGCTGACTTCACAGTGACTACACATATTTTTTTGGAAGGTCTGGGTGTTATTTATTGACAGTTTACACACAATCCACCACTAACAACAACACTACCTCACCCCACCCTCCAACCCTCCCACCCCCTGGCTGTTTTCCAGAAGGGAGCCAGGAACTCAGGAAGCACTCCTCTTTGGGACCAGCAGGATGCAATCCTTCGACCTGGAATTCTGCTGAGTATTGGAGGGCAACCAAGGCTGGAAGCCTTCCACAGGCCCACATCTCAGTTCAGGCCTCCTCTGGCCTATCCAAGCTCATCTCTGTTTTAGGACCCTGGAGAGCAGCAAAATTAGGCCCACCCACCTCAGTGGGGGAAGACCCTTCCATCCGTGGCCTGTTTGCACACACCTGCTTCCGCAGGCCCCACAGATGAAGAGAAATCAGCCTAGTGGTGAGACACAGGCTACTTCCTCTCTGACTGCCCCACACAGGGGTCTGCCTTGGGCTCAGCTGTGGGCACCACCATCTTCTAATCTTCTCTAAAGGAGAGCTTGAGGCTGGCTGGACGTTTATGTGGTCCTGGTCCATCACAGCCACTGCCCTGCCTTTGTTCTGTCAATTGCCAGTGCCCAGGCCGAAGTGGCAGCAGGTCCCGAAGTCAGACTGCAACGGCACGTGGCGAGATTTGGGAGTAGGTTCAAGTAGGGTGGGTCAAAGAGGTTGGTAGGTGTGGAAAGAATGGGAGCGCTTCATCTGGTAATGAGAGAGCTAAAGTGATTTGACTTCCTTCACTATTGAAGCCAATCATGAAATCTCAGTGATTGCTGAGTGGGGCAGAAGGGGGGATGTGTGAAGAAGCCACAGGGCTGTGGCCGGGCGGCCTCACAGGGGCAGCTGGAGGAGCACGGACTGCCCCAGCGGAGCGGCAGGCGGGTGATGTCCCGAGAACGCGGGAACGGATAGGCAATGTCCTCCACAGCCACATCAGGGGCCAGCGAGTTGGCGGTCAGCGTGGCTGCCACCTTCCCACCACAAATCTGGATCTCTCTGCTTCCTGCTCAGCCCCCTTGTTTGGCGTCTACTGATTCTGTAGTACTTCTTCCCCAAGTTCAGATGTGTCCAGGTCACATCTTCCATGATGAGTCCAAAGGTGACTGCGCGCTCCGTGAGGTGGTCATTCCCTGGTATGGAGACCAGCTCTCTCTGAGAGATTAATTCTCCAGCGTCAAAGCGAGCCACCACTGACTTGAGGATCTGGGTGATGATGGACGGCAGTGTTACACATTCATCATAGTCCCTTCGGACACTGGTGTGCACAGAGGCAGATGGCTGGCTACTGGCCGGGAGGGGATGTGCAGTGTTATGTCCACCTCCTGGAAATCTTTGCAACCAGTGATTATTGGCACATGCACGTGACGTGGTGGAGAGAGGCACTCAGAGATCATTGGTTTCTGTACCCAAAGTCTGAGAAAATGAGTCCCTTCCCCTACCATGAGGTCCTGGACTCCACGGAACGGGTCCAAGATGACCACTCTGTGCTGCAAGGCAGAGGCCAATGGCTGAGGCCAGGCCGAACTTGCAGATGGGCTCAAACAGCAGCGTCTCATCCATGGTCAGCTGCTGGATCTCATCTTTGAGCCACTCACACCTGCTCCCACTCCGACCTCCACATGAATTGCCCTGACTACACATTTTCTTTTTTTTTAAGTTTTTATTGTGAATTATGTGTTAATTTATATGGGAGAACATTATCTTTACATTCATCCTATCGTATTTCGTTTCATTGCAATTATTACAATCCTCTGCATGCATCGTCAACCAACCAAAGGGTACACTCCACATGCCTGCTCCCCAGCTGCCAGCACCCAGCCTTTCTCCCTCCCTGAGTCCAGAGTCCCCAGCTGCTCCATCTCTCCACGTCATTG